AGGTATGATAGCACATGCCTGTAATCCCAGCACAGGGCAGGGGGGAGGATTGCTGCTAATTTGAGACCATCCTGGTATACAGAGTAAGTTCCAGATTAGCCTGGGTTTCAGAGTAAGACCCTGTCTGAAAATCAGTCAAACAAACTAACAAAAACCAATGCTGGGAACATGCCCACAGTTTACTGTGACATGTATATTCTCATTATAATACTCTAGTATTCCAGGCCTAGAGAGAGGGCTCAGAAGTTAAGAGCACTGGCTGCTCTTGCACAGGACCTGGGTCCGATTCCCAGCACTCACATGATGGCTAACCACCACCTGAAACTCTAATTTCAGAAGAGCTGATGCCTTCTTCTGACCTCTGCAAGCAATGCAGGGTGCACTTACACACATGCAGGCAATACACTCATACACACAAAGTAAAAATAATAAATAAAATATGGAACAGTATTCTGCTCTTTCTAAAATAGAATCATTATCTTCTGATTCCCAGCACTCACATGATGGCTAACCACCACCTGAAACTCTAGTTTCAGAAGAGCTGATGCCTTCTTCTGACCTCTGCAAGCAATGCAGGGTGCACTTACACACATGCAGGCAATACACTCATACACACAAAGTAAAAATAATAAATAAAATATGGAACAGTATTCTGCTCTTTCTAAAATAGAATCATTATCCTTTTATTACTGTTGTAGGCAGGGCCCCATGTAGTTCCGCTGGCCTCCGCCTCGTTACGGAGCTGAGGATGACCTTGAATTCCTGACCCTCTGCTTCCACTTCCTGAGTGCTGGTGTACACCACCATAACCAAGTTGTGCAGTGCAGGGGATCCAACCCTCCTAGGCAGACATTCTACCAACCGAGCACATCCCCAGTTTCTGACACATTCTTTTTAGGATTTATTTTTGTCTACGTGTGTGTCTATGTGTACATGAATGTATGCCATATATGTGCAGGTGCCCACTGAGACCAGAAGAGGGAGTCAGATCCCCTGGAGATGCAGTTCCAGGCACTTGTGGTGCTGGGAACTGAACCTAGGTCCTCTGGAAGAGGAAGTACTCTTTACCTGAAAGCCAACTCTCCAGGCCCCTGAAACCTTATTCTTTGAGGAAAAGCTCCTCCTCCCTGGCAATTTGGTTTGGTGGAGCCACTTAATCTTTCTGCTCCTCTAATCCTTTGTTTTTTTGTCTTAGTCCATTTTATGTTGCTGTAACAAAATACCCGATGCTGGATAATTTATAAAGAACAGACATTTATTTTGCTCACTATTCTGGGAAAAAGAAAGTTCAAACACCATGGTGCTGGGATCCTGGCAAGTGCACCCCTGGCCATACCACAGCATACTTAATGGCATCGTGTGGTAGAAGTCTATGAGAGTGGAAGATGGCTTGGTAAGGAAGGAAGCAAAAGGGGAGGGGGGGAGTCCATGTTCCTTCCTTTAATAACCACTTGTTTCCTGAAGGAACAGTCCAGTCCCATGTGGTAGTGCTGGTTCATTTACAAATTTGTAGTCCCTATGGTCTAATTAACTTTCCCTAGGCCACACCTGTTGAGATTCTGCCATTGCAATGCTACTACATGGGGACCATGCCTCCAGCTCACAAACCTTTGTGGGACAAGCATAGCCCTGCTAGAACGGGATGATGATGTGAGCAACAAGCAGCCCCTCCCCTGTGTGAGGACCCAGCAGAGGTCTGTTACTGGGAAGGGCTGGGCACCTGTCCTTGATCCAGAGCTGTGTCCTAGAGGGCACTTTAGGATGCTGGCAGGTGCAACCTCAGCCCACAGGCTATGTAGGTGGCTGGCTGCCAGGAGCCACCCATTCCTCTACATGGTGACTGCCTCAGTCTCCCCTGGGCAGGAACTCTGTTTTCTTCCTCCCTTCCTCTTTCCAGTCTGTTGACCGACTCTCAGAGCCATTCCTTTGCATCTAGAGACCCTAAGCCAGGGATTGGGTCTTGGATGCACTTCCTGCTGTCAACCTTTGCCCCAGACATGAGCGAAGAAAGCTCCAGATGCCATCTGGAAGGGTCCCCAGGCACAGGGAGTACCAGGAACCAAGCCTCTTTTGTTTACTCATTTGAAAGATAGTATCCTGTGATAGCTTTCTTTGGGGAGGGGATTCATTGCATCAGGGTGTGGCTGCTCAAGTCCCTGTTCTCTTTCTCTGGCATCTGTCAGCCCCCTCCCTAGGGGACCAGTGATTTCTCCTCATGTGTCTGTGTGGGGACTGCCATAGAGGAAGAGACCGAGGACAGTAATATCCTGTTGCCTCAGCAGGAGATTGACGGTGCTGACAGCTCTTTACCCAGCCTGGTCCAATAACAGGGAATGGGACAGAGGGCCACGTGAACTGTAGGCCAAGGACCAAGTTTAGAAGAAGCCTTTAATCAAGCCGGCAACCCAGCACTGGGGGGAGGAGGGCAGGCCCCGAAGGCCAAGGCCGTTGTCAAGGAGGTCCAGGACCTTTTTGGAGCTTGTTGCTGGCCAGCGCTCCCTGTAAGAGATGGATCTGCTAGGCCCAGAGTGTAGCCTGGGTCAAGGTCGAGACCATTGTGAGGAAAATGGAAGTGGTTCCCATGATTAGTGAGGTGGAATATCTGTCTGGCTGCCATGGGACATGGAAGGGCAGAAGGGCAGCTGGACCAGGGCTCACGTGGCCCCAGATCCCACAGCCTTGGCCTGTTCCTCTGCCCTAAACTTCAGAGAAGCCAGACTGCTTAGAGAGGCTGACCCCAGGAGCCCGTCTGTCTGTCTTTGCCTACTTTGCCCCTGGTCTTTAGAACCTCTCAACCAGCTGGGCCTTGGGGTTGATGTTCCAGAGCAGCCCCCATCACCATGAGAATAATTCCAGCAACAATAAAACCTTCACTGAAATTAGCATCTGTGAAGCATCTTTTTGAAAGCCTCCCTGGTTTGCCTGGGCCTGGTACACAGTGTTTAGCTAAACAATAATGCCAACCTGAAAGAACAGCTTCAAGACACACCCCAGCCCAGCTCCAGCCTCACAGTGACCCTCAAACCCTTACAGTGGATGTGTGGAGGGGTCAGTGTGTGCTGCCTTGGGGGTTAGGGCATGTCGGGCACCCTCTGCGGTCCTGGGGTGGGAGCAGGAAAGCATTAGGCTGCTCTGGTGACTTGTCCCCGCACCCTACCATGCCCTGCCTTTAAGTATGTCCTCAATTCCTAATCCTGGGTGACCTCAGCTGTGGCCCCTTCTCTTGATTCCTCAGGAGAAACTGGATGCTCCAAATTGTTTTCAATGTGAAATCTTCCAATTTTCAAATACTGTCAACCAAGTGAGTTATTTTAAAAATACCTTGTGGTCCTAAGGAGCACCTCTGCAGTCTGGCTGTGCCCCTGGGGCAGCCCATGTGTGACCCTGAGCTTGATCAGTGCTGAAGGTGGTGTCTGGATCCTTCCCAGGGGAGGAATTTTTCTTTGTAAATTACCATCTTTTTTGCTTCCCAAGGTGGCTCTGAAGGTGAGCTGGCCCTGCTTGTTGAAAACGCAAAGAAATAAACACATAAAAATAGAGGAGCAATCCCTCAAGCCTTCTGTCAGGTTTAAGTCCCCAGCATCTCCTTTGGGAACATCAGGAATGGCCCTGAATCATCTCCAGGCAGCTGAGAACAGAGGTTTTCAGCTCTGCACCCGCCCTGCCCACAGAGCTGCAGGTCACATCCCTATGCTGAGTGCCTGCCATGTGTGTGCTTATGTATGAGTGCACTGCATGTACATGTGAACATGTGGGTGTGCACTTGATATGTGTGTGCCTGAGTTTATGTGTATCTGTGCCTGCTTATGTATATTACACAGATTGTCACATTCGGGGTAAGCTGTAGGTAAGAAACTTCAGGCTGGGAGTCCACCATGTGACTTCTGTCAGATCCTCATCTGTATCTGAAGATGCTCATTGTGTGACTGGGTGAAGAGATACACCAGGGGCTGATGTGGGGAGCAGGACCCGATGCCAAGCTGCCCTATATCTTCACAGGTGGCCACCTTCAGGCTCCCTCTGGATGCCTGGTTCTGTCCCGCCTGTGAGAAGCAGATGGGAACAGTGGCAGAGAGCACAGCTATAAGGCCATTAGGATGGCATCTTAGGCTTTGATCCTGAGGGAACTCCTCGCCCCAACCCTGATCTGAGACCCCCTCAGGCATCACTCCTCAACATGGCCAGGTGCTGACCTGTGGCAGGTGGTCACTGCCCTCCAGGGAAGTCTGTGAGAAGTGCCATGAGATGGACTCCTGTGGGTCCAAACAATTCCATCAGCACTGTGGGGGCACAGTTCCCCTGGTGAGGGAGGAGCCAGGCATGGAGGTCCTGACCCAGGAGCAGGTATCAGACTGTTCTCTGCAGTGAAAGACTGAAAGTTCTGGGAGGAGAGTCAGGCCTGAGGGGAGACTATTTGTCTCACACTACCTGAGTTGAGTCTAGTTTTCCACAGTTATAGAAAAAGGCTATGGCATTCAATAGATATATCAGCCTTTTGGCAGCTCTGAGCCCTGTAGTGTGTGAGTGTGTCTGTGGGTTAAGAACTAGAGCTGCTCACTCCCTCCTGGGTTTGCACTTCCGGGCTGCACGGGGTTTGTCCCAATGCCGGTGGAGCCTCTCACAGTGTCAGGAGGACACCATGGCCCCTGCTATGTCGGAGTGGTTCCCAGGTGTCAGGGAAAGAGCTGGCCTTGAAGCTACCAAGGTGTCAGCCTGAGTGCTGCTGAGTGTAAGGTGACTTGTCAGACCACTACTGCCCCTGTCTGGACTTCAGTTTGTTCTGTGAATGGGCATGATGCCTGGGTTTAGGGCACTATGAGTTTTAAATGAGTGGTAACCCGGATGCCTAGTGGGTGCCCAGGTTCAGGGGCTCACCACACTGTGAGTTTTAAATGAGGATTCCTGACTGGTGCTGAGTGGCACCCAAATAGGCTGTGTCTTTCTGTGATGTCCCTGGTGGGGCCTGGGCTGCTACTGAAGACACTGTCTTCTCCTTCCAGGAGCCTCCCAGGGCAGCCTGGACAGCCTCAGCCGAGCCCTGGGCGTCCTGGAGGAGCGAGTCAACAGCTCACGGCACAGGGCACGCAGGCACGCTACGGATGATGACTACAACATTGAGGTCCTGCTGGGCGTGGATGATTCCGTGGTCCAGTTCCACGGTCAGGAGCACGTGCAGAAATACCTGCTGACGCTCATGAACATTGTAAGTCTGGGCTGGATGGGGCTTGGGGTGTGACTCTGGGCAGGGCCAGTGCATGGGGGCTGGGCTTGAATGGGGCTGGGAAAGGAGGCTTGGGTGGGTCCATGGGATGTAGGGCGTTGGCAGACTGGGCTGGGTTCTGGGGGTATCAGAATGTGGGTGTGATGGTTAGGGTTAATCCTCAACGAGCTGTACTCTAGAGTCACTTGGGGGAGGAATCTCTGGGTCTGCCTATTGAGCATGGTCTGGAGTCCATTTATGGAGGTGGAAAACTCCACCATTGTGGGTGGCATTGACCCTGGCTTCCCCACTATAATGGACTGTGCCCTTGAACTATGAGGCAGAATAAACTGTCACCCAAGTTGCTTCTGTCAGAGTATATTATCACAGCAACAGGAAAGAAACTGTAAGGCATCGGGGCATGGGAGGATGGGCTGGATTCTGTGCAGGGCTAAGCTGACAGATAGAGATGGGTGAAGTCTTCCCTGATCAGATCACGGTGGTTGGCTCCCCCAAGCCCTGCTGGGAAAATAGTGGTAAGAGGGAAGACCAGGACATGCTCTCGACCGTGTGGCTCCTGGGTGGAGTGTTACGAGGAGGGGTACTTTGTTGGGAGAACGCGGGCTTACAGAAGCCTAGAGGTTCTATAGTAGTCGATCTTGTCAAGGCATGTCCTTCTGGGGCCTACCTAGAGGTGGGCACTCAGGGATACAGAGATAGGCATAATTCTGCTTTTCTGGATCAGATGGCGAACTCCCGACGTAGACCCCAGACTCCCCAAGGCCCTGGTGAGAAGGGACAGAAGGGAGGGAGGGAGCTGAACGCTGGGGGAGATTCCCACCTGAGTGGTTTCCTTCCTGTTTGTTGCTGTGGCTACATCCATGGCTTCCTCACCATCTACCTTCTCATCTATAAAGTCCTGTGTATTTTCACATTTCATTCTGAAGAATGCTCATCCAGTATTAATTTTGAAAAGTACCTTTAATATAATAATAATACAACCATAATCATTGCAATTTATGTGACCCTTGGATGTGGCTATAATAATAATAGATAATAAAACCGTGATGTTACTATTAATGATCTCCTAATATGTGCCACTTATGCAATATCTTAGGACATTTTCACACCAAGCCTACAAGACACGTAGATAGATAAATTTTATCAGCTTTCAAGGTGTGTGTTACTCCCCGAGGATCCACTGCCAGTCAACTCAGAAGGAAAGAGGCAGGGCTTGGAATTAGAGAGTCTAGGTGTTCCCCCAGGAATGCGACTCCAGTCCTCTGAGCCTTGGAGTTCCCATCATTACAGTGGGTGAGCAGTTTACCTCTCAGACACAGTAATAAGGTTTAAATGACATGAAGGAAGTGAATGAGTAAGTCTCTAAATAAGGTAAACACATTTTCAACTTCTAAATAAAGTGTGGTTTTGCTCATGTGACAGTGACAGTATTTGATGTAGAAGCAGCTCATGAAGTGTCATTTTTGAGAAGTCCCCAATGACCTGGACTAAAGGTGGGGTATCCAGTGATGTCATGAGGCTGATACAAAACAGACCTGGTTCGAGAAAGTCTAGACAGTGTGCTTCTGTTCACCCCTGCATGCCCCCATGGTCTAACTGTAGCACCATTTTAGCTAATGATAATGAGATGATTCATTTCTAGAAAAACACTGGGAACATAAGAATTCTTACATTGAAGCAAGTCTTCATTTTATCATCAAGACAACAAGAAGGATTTTAGGAGACAAACTGAGGAATCCAGAAAGAGTTCGTAGGTTGTATTTTCTGTGTTGTACATATGGGCACTTTGTGCACGCAGCAAATGTTTGTTGATGGAGTCCTTGTCCTCATGGTCATGGTGGCGAGTCCTTCAGCTTCGAAGGGTGAGGTATAGAGTCAGATGAGGGGGAGGGGTGTCAGTAAGGCTCTGCCCCTCATTTAAGCTCTTCCTGCCTCAAGAGTTCAGTGTAGATGGGGAAGATAAGTCCCCTGCAAGCTGCGAGCATGATGTTGCACTGACAATTTATATCCTATGTCCTCATGAGAGTGTGAACCCAGCTGAGGGAGGGGTGTTTCAAGGCTGGTGGAACCCTCTGTGGCTTTGAGGAAGTGTGACTGTACCAGAGGATGACCTTCTAGAATAGTGCTGTAATGGAGCTGCAGGTGTTCCTAAGCTACATTACAGTTATGCCTGAATTAAGAAATAGCTTGATTCTTAGCCAAGAGTATACCTGAACTCTGAGAACCTGTTCCTTCAGGTGTCTCATGGAACTGTGTTTTCCAGCCAGACCTCTCTCATTCTTTATTCAAACAGTATCTCCAGCATGAATTGGGGAAGTAGAAGCCTTTCCCACCCTGATCAGAGAAACTCAGCCTTTAATACCCAGGCCTAGAGTATCACACACAACTGCAAACAGACTTCTCAGTTTCTCCCCCTGCTTCCAATGAGGTGAGCTCACTGCTTCCAGAGCTTTGACATGTTAATCTGGAACACCCACACTCATGGGTGGAGGGTGAGGTGGGGTCCTGAGGGATCAAGGTCAGGTGCCTAGGTCAGAAGAGCACATGGTTCAGTGAGCTTGTTCACATTGTAAACAGTAACTTTTTGTGGGTTTTGTTTTTTTAAAATATATTTATTATTTTTATTTTACATATATGGGTGTATTGCCTGCATGTGTGTAAGTGCACCCATGTTGTGCAATGCCTGAGGAGATCAGAAGAAAGAGTTGAATTCCCCTGTAACTGGAGTTACAGATGGTTGTTAACTGCCATGTGGGTGCTGGGAATCAAACCCATGTCCTCTACAAGAGCAGCCCAGTACTCTTAACTGTGGAGCCATCTGTCCAGCCCCCAACAGTAACTTTTTGGTTGCAAGGTTAAGTAAAGTCTTTTTAGTCCAGATCATGCTCACAGTGTAAAAGTCATTCCTGCACGGAGCTTTCAGGGACAATTGGAATCCCTTGTCCTGCCCTGTGCAACTTCGCAGCCACTCGCCCAGCTCTGGAGTCCTTGAAAGTGGCTGGTGCAAGAGAAGAACGGAATTTAATTTTTAACCTTTTTTCCAATAGAATTTTTTATTCTGATTAACCTTTTATTGTGATAAAAAGTAAGCCAGGACTGGGTCTGCAGAGATGGCTCAGTCACTGAAGTGTTTGCTGCGTAAGCACAAAGGCCTGAGTTCAGATTCCCAGCACCCATGCAAAAAGCTGGGTGCACACCTGTAATCCCAGTGCTGGGGAGGAGCCTGGGGCTCGCTAGGTAGCTAGCTGGCTGAGTGGGTGAGGTCCGGGTTCAGTGAGAGACCTTGTCTCAAAACATAAGGGCCAGAGAGATGACTCAGTGGTTAAGAGCACTGGCTGCTCTTGCAGAGGACCTGAGTTCAATTCTCAGCACCTACATGGTGGCTAACAACCATCCGTAACTCCCATTCCTGGGGATCCAATGCCATCTTCTGACTTCCATAGGCATTACACAACATGGGTGCACTCACATACATGCTAGCAACACACTCATACACATAAAATAAAAATAATCTTAAAAATTAAAAACAAGGTGGAGAGAGTAATAGAGCAGGACATGTGACTTCCTCCTCTGGTCTCCAAGTGTGCACACAACATACACATGTGTGCATATACCACACACATGCATATAGTCACATACATGCATATACTCACAAAATAATAAATTAAGTAAGGTGGACAGCAATCAAGGAAGACCTGATCTACACGCACACACACACACACACACACACACACACACACACATCTACACGAGAGGACAAATTCTGTATGATTTCACTTCTTTCATGTATTGAATCCCAGCTACTTGAGAAGTTGAGGCAGGAGGATCACAAGTTGAAGGCCAGCCTGGGCAACTTAGTGAGACCCTGCTTCGAAATAAAAAGTGAAAAGAGGGCTGTGGATAGAGGGCTGTGGTAGAGGGCTGTGGATAGAGGGCTGTGGTAGAGGGGCGTCCCTAGCATGTGAAAGGGCTTCAAGTCTTAGCACCAAACAGTACCAATAGCAAAAACTATTATGATAAACATGCAGAATGTCTCCATCTTAAGTGCCCGGTCTGTCTGTTAAGGACATTCACATGGATGTACAAAGGTCACCACCACCCATCCACAGAATGCTTTTCATCCTGAGACACTGAACCTCTGACCGTCCATTTTACTTTCTGTCTCTGTGAGTTTGATCCCTCTGGATCCTCAAAGCAGTGAATTCATATATCTATCCTTTCAGAACTAGCTTGTTTCATTTAGTGTGATATCTTAAAGTCATTCATATTGTAAGATGTGCTGGTATCCCGTGTGTGTATGTGTGTGTGTGTGTGTGTGTGTGTGTGTGTGTGTGTTGAGTATGTATGTATGTGTATTGTTTTGCCTTGTTTTGTTTTTGATACAAGATCTTGCTATGTATCTCAAGCTGGCCATGAAATTGCTCCGTAGCCAAAACTGTCCTCAAAATAATGACACCCTGCCTCCACCAGGCATGCACCTCCCCACCTGGCCTTCCCTTCCTTCCTGAGGCTGAATAAGATCCATAGACACATTTTGCTTACCCGTTCAGGCACTGGTGGGCACCTAGGTGTCCTCTACCTCTGGGCTGTTGTAACTAAGGCTGCTGGGAGCACGGGTGGATGGATTTCTGTGCATGACTCTGCTCTGCACTCCTTTGGATACAAACCCAAGAGTAGAAAGGCTGAATCATACGTTAATTCTATGTTTAACTTTTAAGAAACCTCTATACCATTTTCCACAGCCTCTGTATCATCTTACATTCTCACCAACAATGCGTGGGATTTTCAGTTCTCCACAGCCCACAGCACTTGTCCCGTCAAGAGTGGTCACCCTAAAGGGGACTTATAATCTGCACTGAGGTTCAAATGCCAGTGTGGCCAGTGGCAACTGTCCCGAGCAGTGCAGTTCTGGATGATGTGTGGGCTAGGAAAGCCTGCTATGCCCACCTCTGAACTTGATCTTGGGCACTAAACATGCAGCC